TTTTTTTTTTTTTTTTTTTTTTTCCGATTTTTCGGAGTGCTTTGCAGAGTTCATAAAGTTTGTTTCATCATTGAGAGTTCCTAAATTCTAGTATTGTTCGTGAAGTCTTTTATATTTTAAATATTACATTATATAAGATAATAGTTGCTGTATCTTCGAGGTGTGTGCTGTGAACCGTGGGTATTGCGTATTTTTATGGTGCAACTTCATCTTAATGAAAGCGTTTATAACTTTGATCAACTTGTTTGAGTTTTCTTCTTTTACTTTTGCCATCCAGGAATTTCCAAAACAAATTTATGACAAATTCATCACACCTAATATTCATCCTTTTTATTGGATAAATGCCAATCTTTGACGTTGGTGATTGCAGCTGAGGCAAAGGGCCGGCATTCTAATGCTTCTATTCGGGTCTTTAAATATTCCACAGGAGGTGTTCTTGAAGTAAGTATCAGATTCGTTCCATTTCGACTGAAATGATATATAATATATTAATGTGTGGTTTGTTCTTGGAACAAACTGAAGCATAAGAACGTATATGCGCAAATGATGACATTATTACAATGGTAACGGTTTGTACATAGGTTATTAAGATAACTAACCAACGACACTAGTAAATTGAACACCATAATGAGTGCTAACAACTTGGCAAATTTACAGCTTCACTAAACGGAGAACCGCCTTTTGAAGTCCTACTCATACATTTGTTAACTTCGAAGTATGATTAATTTCTTCAATTCATACAGCCTGCGAAACTATACAAGCTGAAGCATCTGTCGAAAGTGGAAGTCATATCGAATGATCCAAGTGGATGTACCTTTATGCTGGTAATACACATTGAGTTTTTCTACATCCTCACCATATTTGTTTCATTCAAGATTTGATGATTACTTCATATGGTAAACTCATGTTATGGTTCTGGTTTATGTTCATATTTTTTCTTAAGGGTTTTGATAACCTCAGAAGTCAGAGTGTTGCTCCACCTCAATGGACAATGCGCAATGTTGATGACAGGTACAACGTATCCTGGTTTTGCTGTCCCATCAATAACTGGATTTTACTTATGACTTTTTTCTCTTTGCTAATTATTGTTTTATCTAATTTCTTTCTTCACGGTTCTTGCAGGAACCGGCTTCTGCTTTGTGTCTTAAACACCTGCAAGGATATGTTGGGCCGTCTTCCTAAAGTAGTTGGCATAGATGTTGTGGAGATGGCTCTTTGGGCCAAGGTACTTGGTGACGTGATTTATTTTTTTTGTCTTCATGCATTAATTGTTTAGCAATAGCTAACACAAAATTATTTATCACATGTTTCTGCAAGTTTTAGCCATTGGTATTTGATATATAT